TATTCCACAGTCTGGACACCCTGACTGTGAAGAAGGTTTTCCAAATGTTGAGTCTGAAACAGTGTTCCCAGAGTTTACGGCCATTAGTCCTGGTTTTCCCCAAGGGTGCCCTGTGGAACAGGTGTTCACCAAGCCCTTGATGTATTCCCCTAATGTAGCAGTAAGCTGCTACCAAGTCCCCTCTCAGCCTTCTCTTTTTCAGGCTGAAGAGTCCCAGGTCCCACAGCCTTTCCTCATATGGCTTGGCATGCAAGTCTCTGATCATACGGGTGACTCTTCTCTGGCCTCTCTCAGGTTTGTCCATGTCCTTCTTAAAGTGTGGTGCCCAGAACTGGACGCAGTACTCCAACTGCAGTCTCACCAGTGCTGAGTAGAGCAGAAGAATCACTTCCTTGCTTTTGCTGGAGATGCATTGATTGATGCATGCCAATTTATTATTTGCTCTGCTGCCTATAGATTTGCACTGCTGGCTCATATTTATACTGAGAAGGGTATCTATTATAACCCCCAGGACCCTTTCATTCGTGGTGCTGGTCAGTTTGGCACCACCAAACCTGTAGGTGTGCAGTGGGTTGTTCATCCTCAGGTAGAGCACTTTATATTTCTCAACACTGAACTTCATCTGGTTCCAATCTACCCAACTTGCTAGCCTGTCTGGGTCCACCTGTATCTGTAGCCTGTCTTCAAGTGTGACCACATTCCCCCAAAACTTGGTGTTGTCCGCAAGCTTGGACAGTAAACTCTTCACCCCCATATCCAAATAACTGATAAAGATGCTGAAAAGTACGGGCAGTCCTCACACTTACGGTGGGTTATGTTCCTGGAAAAGGTGCTGTATGTCAAAATGATGCAAGTCAAATCTGATTTTCCCATAAAAACAGTGCTATAATAAGGGGTTATGTTCCTGGTTAAGGGCCTGATGCCCAACTTTTTATAGAAATGACCATAAACACCATATTGAAATCAACAATTTAATCAACTATAGATGATGTACACTGTACAATACAAAGTTTTCCAAAGTGTACTGTATATAAATCGATTAAACAGGGTAATACAGTAACTAATCATATAACATTTCATTTAATCAGAAGGTGAAGGAACACCTTCATCAGGGTCATGGAATTCAGAAGGGCTTCTTTGGGGAGACTTTGGGGAGACTTAGGGCCACTTGATGACTTTTTGAGAAACTGATCCAGGGATGTTTATTTTGCTGCCCTCTTTTTCTTATTGTAAATTTCCCTGTAGTGCATAAGTGCGAGGATCCAGTGCCATAAGTAATAACATGGATGTAAATGGCAAATCGCCGTAAATCGAAACGCCATAAGTCAAGGACTGCCTGTACTAGACCAACCACCGACCCCCGTGGGACACTACTGTCCACTTCCTGTCAAGATGACACAGATCCGTTCATTAGAACTCACCCTGCAGTCAGTTTCTCACCCATCTGGCTGTCTTGGAGTCAAGCCCACAATCCTCCAATTTTCTCATGAGGACATTGTGGGATGCCAGATGAAAGGCTTTTTGGAAGTCAAGGTATACAGTGTTGACCTCTCTCTTACCCAGGTGGTGAGTTACCCGGTCTTAAAAGGAGATGAGGTTGGTAAGGCAAGACTTGCCCATGATGAAGCCATGCTGGCTGTTGTTCAGAATCCTACCTTCTGCAACCTTATTGCAGGTAGACTCCTTGATGAAAATTTCCAGGATTTTCCCTGGCATAGAAGCTAGGCTAACTGGCCTATACTTACCCGGGTCCTCCCTCCTGCCCTTCTTGTGGATGGGCACAACAGTGGCCCTTGTCCAGTCCTCAGAGACCTCTCCAGAGCACCATGAGTTTTGGAAGAGTTGCGCCAGGGGTTCCATAGTGACTTTGGCCAGCTCCTTCAGCACTCTCGAATGAAGTTCGTCCAGTCCTGCTGACTTATATGTGTCTAATTTTTTTTAATTGATCGCACACCAGTTCTACAGCAATAGTAGGAAGGCAGTCATTCCTATGCTGCTCATTTTGCACCCTACCTGGCATGATTTTCCCCTTGGCCTGGTGAAATACCAAGGTAAAGTAGTCATTCAGTTTTCTCCTAAGTGCTGTCCTGAGCTGTTGAGCAGTGGTTCCACACTCCCATGTGTTTTCCTCCTGTTTCCAATGTACCTAAAGATGGACTTCTTGTTGTCCTTGATTCCCATTTGCTAATTTGAGTTCAGTCACTGCTTTAGCCTTTCTGATCTGTTTCTTGCAAGTGCGGCCTGACATTGTGTAGTCCTCCTTGGGACATGCCCTGAGCTTCCATTGTTTATAAGCCTCTTTCTTAAGAGGAATGTGATTTCCCTGTTTAGCCAAGAGAGCTTCCCAGCCCTTCTGTTACCTTTTCTCTACATGGGAATGGACTTCCTTTGTGCTTCAAGGATCGTGTCCTTAAGGAACAACCTTTCTTCATGCACGTTCATGTTCGGTTCCTGGTCCTGCAATACTTCCCCTACCAGTGACCTGAGCTTGTTGAAATTTGCATTTTCAAAGTTCAAGACTTCAATCCTGCTATCAGATTTGGTTGCCTTGAGACAGACAGTGAGCATGATGGTTTCGTGGTTGTTGTTGCTATATTTAAGTTGGTCACCAACATCTCTCTTTCTTAGACTTGTGGGAGATGCTGGACTGCATTATGGGAAATGTCTTACCTGATGATTTATTTTATATTAGCAGGGTCTCCCACAACATACACTTCTGGGTACAGCTTCAGTAAATGGGATATCATTTCATTTTGGCATGTCTACAGTTAGCTACAAAACTCTTAGAATTAAATAATAAGTTACGTAGCTTTGAATTACTCAGCTAAAACAGAGAGCTGCCAGAGACTTTCTACTAAAATTTTGATGAGATAGATAGGTTCTTGTCTGAAACATGTGCTATGTACAGAACAAGCCAAGTTTGGGGAGGAGAGGAACTTACGTATATGAATGTGTAGATATAAAAGTGGCTATAATAACTAAGTTAGATGAAGGCTGCTGGTCCTCTTTAAACAAGACAGTATTATCAGTAAGTTGTCTTTATTTGCTCCTCTTTCTACATTAACTTTTCCAGTCTCATACTATTGAAAACTGAATTACAGTAATTTGCTGCTCTGTTCGCTAAGGAAAATATAAAACATACCACTTAGTTTTTGACTAACCTACTCTTAAATGGCAAAGATGAAGTATTTATTTTTTATTTCAGCTGGTCTTGGAATGATCTAAAATACGAAGGTGATAGGCACCTCATAAATGGATACATTGGTAGATATACTGGGCCAATTTCTGCAGACCACCTGACAGTATGCAGTGAATGTTTGGAGGGGATGATGCAACAGTGGCTCTAAGCCAATATTTGCATCTTCCTAGTCTTTGGGGTATCAGCCTATCCCTGCCAGAAATTTAGAATAAACATAAAAACTGTTCTAGTTAATGCCAATAGCCTGTAACCTCTCTCTAGGGATCAACCAAGTGAAGAATGTAACAACTACAGGCAACCCTTGCCATTCATGGGGGATACATTCCCGTGATTCCTGCGAATGGTGACATCCACGAATAGGGCACTGCAATAAATGTTATTGTGGTGTGAAAGGTCGTTGGGTTTAAGAGTGTTGATCCATTCATTGCCTGACCAGAGTCTATACCACTAAGACTCAACGTTCTCTCATACTTTTCATATGTGCAATTTGTTTTCTAATATTAGTCTACTGATGATGATAGCAGGCTGCCAGATATTTGATATTGTATTTTAGAAATAAAAGTAAGGAGTACTAAATAAGCAACAGTGTTCATCTACGTGCAGCATAACTATAATCTATATAATATTAGATTGATTATCCCAAAATATAAAGAAAGTGAAAATATTAGTTTAACTACTTTGATATATACCTCAAATTATAAAAAGGAAATTAGTCCATTTTCTTTCCTTTGTATCTCTGATTGCCTGAGGACCAGTCCATTCGTAATTGCCACTTTGGATATGCTGACATGACCATAGACATGGCTCTTTATTTTATTTTTATTTTGTAAGGGGTGCAGCTAGACTTCAGAGAATAAAATCTTGCTAACCTGTGTACAGTGAGGGCTAAGCTACCATGCAGTGTCTTAAACTGGTAGTGCCTGCTACTGCTTCCAAAACTTATTCCTCAACAAAGTTCTTTTCCATCACACATGCATATATGGCATTCTAAGATCACTGCAGAAAATGGACCAGAGAGAACTTCTATTTTAAGTACATATTGCATGGCTTAGCATTGCTGACTGATTTCATATTCCCTCAGACTTGTATTTATAAGCCTGGATTCTGACTACCTTATGCTGCTGGTATTGCTCGAATTTAATTTACCATCTGATAATTCCCTGATGTAGATGAACCCTTAGCTGGTAAAAGTGGGGTAGGGTAGAATGTCTGTGAAATACCAGTTCACAGCTGGTTATAGTCCCAGAGAGGTAATAGCCATTGGGTATAAATTGGAGCAGTTTAGGGGACATTATGCTATTTATACCATTGGGAAGAACAGGCACAATTACACCAGTATCAGGGAGGCAGAACTTGGTCCCTGACATTGCAGCCTACCTTTCGCACACTGATTGTATCTCTTAGTGGGTAAAAATATAGGATATGGTACTTCAGGGTTGGACCAGAAGGTTGAGGGGGGTTTTAATCATTTTTCCATTAAAAAATCCAATTTGTACTGTCTTCTTATTTCTAATTTACAAGGAGGAGCAGAGCAACAAATTGATCCTCCTCTTTCTTCTCAAAATCCCCAGAGTTTCAGATTAGATTCTGATGTCTTGCACTAATTTATTTTAAGGTGATAATTAAAGTAGATCATATTCTAAAATGGAATGCTTTTTGGTCCACTATGTGCAGTGTAGCATTGTAAAAGGAAACGTGAACTTTTCACTGTAGTTTTGGACACTGTCAAAGCCCCTTTGATGAATTCCTACTTTCATTAAGAACAAAAAATCTCCTCCTCCATATAACTTCATTATAATTTAATATATTGAAAAACTACTGTGAAAATGGTACTTTAATATTCAAAGTTTGTCTTCATCATTAAAATCAAATATTCACTGTTGACAAGAAAGAAATTTGAGTTTCTAACTTTTAGCCCTGTAGCCTCAATGAGGGCTTTAAGGCCATGTCCAGACAAGAGCGACTGTGTGGTATCTGGTGCCACGGGCATGTTTACTACATACAGCACATCCAGCTGGTCTCCATGTGTTACTGACCCCAGGAGATCCTGGGGTAAAAACACCTGCACAAAAAAATGGCAGAGCAGTGCATGCAGGGCATGGGTGCATTCTACCCAAAACTGCAGCCTGGCTGGCTGGATCCATGCTCTGACTGCCAGCCAGGCTCAGAGCAGCAGGATTGCTGCTGCTGGAGCCCCAGGAAGCCCCCACGACCCCAAATAAAGCTACTGGCTCGAGGCTCATGTGGATGTGGCCTAGGGTTGCAAACAGATGTTGCCCTTGTATCACCATAAAAATGTTAATGGGGTGCAGGTTGTGAGAGAACAGACATCCTTGCCCCTTGTCATACTCCAAGTGCCCAAAAATGTTTGCACAATGATTCCTGGTAACAGTTTGTCATGTCTTATCAGGAAGGATGTCTATTGCTTATGGCGCTTCTCCCACAGCCTGGGGCTGCCCACTCTCTCTAGCCAACTTGGGCAGGAGATTCTGGAGTGCATATTTCACACTGCAGAGCAAGGGAACCCCATGGAGTTCCATGGATTGAAGTCAGGCATCTGATGAACCCCAGGCCCTGAGCTGTAGACAGGCAGGATGGGCCCTTGAAACTTTGGGAACAGCAGTGACCCGTTCTTGTGGAATAATGGCCTTGGGCAACATTTGTCCCTGCCAATCAGTTGGATCAGCTGTGCTGGGACACATCCTGGCACAGCTGATCCTGTGACACAAATGGTATCTGTTTGTAGCCTAACAAACCACCTAGATTTCTTCCTTTACATGTACAGTCACCAACCACAAAGGACCTGCTGATGATACCAGCCCTTTCGCTATCCTTGTGCAGCCCTTCCCTGGTTTTGCACAAATGTGGCAGATCTTACTTCAGTAAACAATTCTGTTGACACTGAACAGGAAATAATACAATCTGCCTTGCTTTCTTAGATGTGTTGGCTTCTCAGGAATAAGAGGACCTCAGAACAGTAAAATTTATTTTAGTTACTAGTCAATGGGTACACAAATGGAATAGATCTTTTGAGTAGGAAGTTGCTTACCTGGACTCTTGTCTGTTATTTTTAAGTCTATTGTTGTATATGAATTTACTTTCGTTTGCTTATGAGGAGTATTTGTGTGCCTCAGGATAATTCAGAATAAATTACCTATCTTCAGTAACTCATGTTTAACAACTCCTGTTAACTATTGAACACACACTGTCTAGTGGAAAATCTAGTAAGAGGAAAGATTGATTCTGTTCATCAGGAAATAGTGAATTGAGGGAAATGGTGGTATATTATAGCTTTTGATTTAGAAGCAATGTTTTAAAATTTATTATGTATATTTTTTTAATAGAATATGCTTCTGCTGGCTCATTGTTTGATTACATTAATAGCAACAAAAGCGAAGAGATGGATATGGATCAGATCATGACCTGGGCAACTGATATAGCTAAAGGTAAGAGAGAGATGGCTAACAGTAATTCTGCACAATCTTTAAAGTATAGTGTTGAAACCCTTCTTTTGAAATGAAGAAAGCCATCATAGATGTCAGCACTGAAGGCACTATTAGAAAATATGTTTTAGAGGAAGGAAGGGATAATGGTCATTTTCCTAATTATTCTCTTTTGATGGTATATTTTCAAAATGGAAGTGAAGGTCTCCTCTATCAGTTTTGTATGTATTTTGGCTCTGAGTCACAAGCAAATTTTTTTCACAGAACAGGCATATTGTATATAGGTACAATGCTTACAAATGTCAATATCCAGCACCAGTCTTATCTGCATGGGAACACTCTGCAAAGTTAAGGGTTTGCCCTCACAGAGAAGTTACTGTTAACTACTACTCTTTGACTCCACATGCTGACACACACATACCCCTACGCACACCTACATCCACACAGTGAGGGCATGGCACATATATTTGGAGCTGTTTCAAAACAGGAACATTTCAAAAGGGCAGCAGCTTTTACATCCTCATTGTTACGTGTAGACAAGATGAGAATGATGCAGGTGAATCAAAACCACTCCAGCTATAACACTGCCTCATTTAGTGCAGTGGTTTACAGTCTTTTTACAAATTACAGTCAAGGCACCCCCAATAACTTTTCTGAATTTCATGGTGCCCCAGTGCAGAATTACTGAACTAGAAGCTAAATTGAGGAATGATATGGGCTAGAGACAGACATTCAAAAAGCCTGAGCCTGAATTGATTTAATCTTTGCCCTTTAGTGTGACCTGGCTAGGTTAAATCACTTTGTAACTGTACAGACATCCCAGACATGCAGGCACATGCCTGCAGTGACTCAGGCTAGAAGCTGGGGGTGCTAGAGCAGCCCTCCTTTCTCTTGCAAAGGGCTTAACTAAGCAGGGTGTGGCCAGGCCCAGGAAGGAAGCTTTGATTAGGGAGAGGTTGCACCCCTTCTGACCACTATGGTATCAATTCCAGCAGGAAATTGATAACAGTGTTTATCACCCCAGCTCAGTGTTTATCACCTCATTAAGAAAACAACAGAGGGACATTACCAGCTACCTGTTGATTCTTCCTTTGTCCTGTCTGCCACAGCCTGGGATGTAGCCAGCATGTGGTCTGCTAAGTAATACTGAGAGGTGTCTGTAAGGCAGAAGGGACAGGGAGGGAAGCCAGTTTATGTGCACTGAACATCTGTACTGTTTCAGGTTTGAACCAGTTTCTGATCACTTAAATTGGTTTCTGTGTAATGTGTGTGTCTAGCAATGGACGGCTGCGATGAGGCTAAAAGGGTTAAGAAGCCCCGTTCTAGCAGGAGCTAGGGAAGAGTGACGGGGCAGAACCTAACCCTGCCATACCCTGCTCCTCCCACCGTCTGCCCCTTCCCACCTCCAGTCTGTATCTGAGGGATTAAGGATGGCCTCTGCCGCTGAGGCTGCTCCTGCAGCATCTCCCACACTGGCAGCCACCCCCAAAGTCCCTCCTAGGAGTGAAGGAGGAGTGAAAGGGATGAGTTGAGCTGGAAAGCGTGGCTCCAGCTCCATGTCCCCCTGACTGCAGAATAATCTGCTGCTAGGAGTGTGGGCACAGAGGCCACTGGGGGATAAAGGCGGGCAACAGTAACAACAGTCCTTAGAAGCAGGCACTGCTGGAGTAGCTGGGGCAGGTGCAGGGTACCAGTCACTAAAGATGGGGGAGGGAGCACATACCTTCCCACAGAAGGGCTGGGGCAGTCTAGCACCTTAAAAAAATCTCACAAAAATCTTGTTAAACCACCCTAATTTTAGAATTTTCTTTCATTTTTGTGTAGGAATGCACTATTTACATATGGAAGCTCCCGTCAAAGTAATACACAGAGATCTGAAGTCCAGGAATGGTAAAGTAGTTTTGAATTGAAGTGTCCTATGTATTCTGTTTTCAGATAATGAAATGGTGAACCTTGATTTTAGTCTCCCGCAGGTATAGGACTAAATCCTCACCTCTTAACTGTCGTATTAGGTCCAGGTGGGGCAGAGAAAGAGGCACCTCCCCCCAGGTTCTGGAGTTGTCTGTGTATTATTTTTCCCACTGGCATAATTTGGAACTGTGTTGGGGCTGTTCTAAGGCATGACTTAGAACCGTACAGCTCTATAGACTGCTGGAAGTTAAGTCAAGGACTAGAACAAGACTATAATAAGGCTGTTCTAAGTTATGCCTTCCTACCTGTGGTCTGAAGAATCAGTCAGAGATTTTCAGTAGTAATATACTGTTTTTGTAGTTGTGTTGGTTTGGGGAATATGCAAGAAGCAAGACTTGGTCAGCTCTATCTTTTATTGGATCAACTTTGTAGCTGAGAGAGGTGTTAGACAAGCTTGTGGGACAAAATGCCCTTCTTCAGTCTGGAAAGATGCAGACACTGCCTAACATTAATACCGTTAGAGCAAGTACTTTTGTTTAACTCCATTACGTGAAAGAAAGTGACCACTTTAAAAAGGAAATTATAAAGTTGGTTCAATAAAAAATATTCCCAAACAAATCTTGTTTTTCTCTAGGATTGCCTGAGTACTTTCCCCTATTCCTGGAAACGTCCAATATGCTGTGGGCCAGGAAGGGGTGGCTTAATGCAGTTCGGACATGACAAAATAGATCTAATATCTTTGCCAAAACCTTTAGTCATTGCAGTGGTGATTGAAGTATTACGGATTTTAGTGCTTATAAATAATGTAAATGAATGAATTGGATGTTTGAATGAATTGGATCCGTTTGATAGTCCAGACTAGTTATGACATAAGCTGCAAGTGACTTTAATTGAAATATTAACTACTAATAATGGATTACAAATTATATAGATTTGCCAAATACAGTGCAAGAATGTCATAGTGGAGAAATGACTGGATGCAGTTTCATTTTTAGATTTTTTTTTAAAGGTATTTTTAAAGTGGGTCTCTAGGAAGGATTATTGTCAGATGAGTACAGCAGCAGGGAAAAAGGGACAGTTCTACTTTTTTTTTATTTTGAATGTATATAATTAATTCAGTCAGAGGAGAAGAGGGTAGTTGTGCAGTATGTTATGTAATAACTATTCCAATCGATATTAGTACAGTGGGAACCATTTTGAAGGCGATAGACAAAATTAAAAATGCTTGTGTCCCTTTTTTTACTTCATGATATACATAAGGGTCCCAGAAGATTTTTTTTTTTTTAGTTAAAATTTGAATCAAAACATAACTAAGAAACCCACTTCTATCCCAACTTACATTTTATATTTAGAATTCAAATCTGCCATGCAAGCATCTCTGCTGACTAGAAACATGGTGAAATGATGATGTTGCAGTAGTCAAGAGTTTGAAGGATGACTTCTGTATAGTTGAAAGGAGAGATTTTTAATTAAACAGTGGGGGCTTTTTTCTGTTTTTGACAGTATCTGTTCCATTTCAGTTAACATTTTTGGTAATAGAAATCTCGGTTGGTTGAAGACAACGGTTCCCAAACTCTGACAGACTGAGTACCACCAATTTAAAATGATACAGCCTTAAGTACCACAGGCAAATTTTTCATACACATAGATAACAGACTATGTATTAAAACAACATCAAAATATTTAGTAATCATAGAACATTGTTTTATCAGTTACAATAGTCATATAAAACAATTGTATATTGGAAAAAAAACAGTGCAAACCAGGGATAGGCAACATTTTTGGCTGGAGTACCAAAAAAACCTCAATGCATACCCTGTGAGGTGCCAGAGTGCGGGCACACCAGAAAAACAAAACTGGGGCGGAGGGTACATGACAGGATGCACTGCACATTAATATAATTAATAATCATAACTGTTGGGTTTTTTGTTTTTTTACAGCAAATACCAGGTTTTCTAAAAATTCTAAACCTGGTGATAAATAAAACTTCATATACTACCTTTGTTCTTGTGTATTCTTTTTTGTTAAGCATGTTGTGATGGGGGGGGGAGAGGAGAGGGAAGAGAAAGAAGAAAGAGAAGAGAGGGAAGAGGGAGGGAGGAGAGAAGAGGTGCGAGGAGGAGCAGACGTGGG